TGCTTCAAGACAAAATTTCACTTATTTGTAATTAGAAATATTTCACAATATAGAATTACATATTGTTTTTGTGATTAATCACTATGCTTTAATTATGTTCAATTTGTAACAATGAAAATACATCCTGCATATCAGATGTTTGCATGATGATTCATAACAGTAGCAAAATTACACTTATGAAGTAGCAATGAAATAATTTTATGGTCAGGGGTCACCACAACATGAGGAACTGTATTAAAGGGTTGCGGCATTAGAAAGGTTGAGAACCACTGGGTTAGATAAAGGGAAGAAAAGGTACAAAATAGAGAAGTGAATAAAGGGAAGAAAGGGTACAAAATAGAGAAGTGAATAGAGCAGATGAGCATGGCTGGAAGCCAAAAAGGAAAAGGCAGCTAGCCATACTCTGGATTATTCACTCATCCATCTGTTCTTCAGTACCTGTGGTGCATAGTTACTGGGTACCAGACTCTATGCAAGGAACTGGAAGTGAACAGTGAGTGAGAAAAATTCCAGTCCTGCTCCCCAGGTACACTCACCCTGTTGCTCCCTTAAACCCCCTCTCTTCACTCACTTCTCTCCCAAACAAACCTACTGCCATCACTCAGAGATCCTATACAGGGTTTCCGAGTCTGCATATCTTCATGGAGGCAGATAAATCACTGCCATCAAGTCAATACTGACTCCCTGGGGATTACCAAGACTGGAACTGTTTACAGGAGTAGAAAGTCCAGTCTTTCTTCCACGGAGTTGCTGGTGGTTTCGAACTACCAACCATGCAGATCGTATCCCAGCATGTAACCACTACACCTTCAGGACTGCTCATTGCTGGGGCAGGTTGGCAGGGTGGGAGTGGTTCAGACAGATAGCCTCATCTTTCTGCCATGGAGTGGCTGGTGGGTTTGAACTCCTGGTTTGCAGTGAGCAAGTTCAACACTTACCTACCAGCACCTGTCACTTTAGTGTAGATCTTCAGGCCCCAATATTGAGCCAAACTTACTGAAGAGCATCTACAATGGACTGTTTCTGTTTTCAGGGTATGTCATTTTCTTTACTAAATTTGTTTCTACCTTTTAAAAGTTCTAAACAACAAGTGAGCTTTCTCAAAGGAACCCAAAGCCTGTTGCTCTGAGGCTTGGTTTGGTTTCCACTAAGAAGCAGAGAGGTGAGTGAATGAGACGGTCCTGTTGCCAGCAGCACTGAGGAGCGTGGTTCCCGTTTCTACTGGATGAGCAATACACACTTGCTTCCTGTTAAGAACATTGTGACACATATAACTGTAAGGTCTGCGGTGACTTTAAATATCAGATCCTTGGTGGCCTGGTTTCCATATGAAACACATTTCTCAGCTTAGCATTACCCACCCCCACCCCACCCCCATCATGTTGGGCTTTTAGTAAAGCATCCAGACGCCACTTAGTGTGTCAAGAGCAGTACTTGTTATAATGTCAAGCTCTCCCTTGGAGATCACTCATTTATGTAAAAGATATAATGCCATACACAGCTCTGAGCCGCAAACCACTGTGGCCTTAAAGTTCTTAGAACTCATTCCATTTGAAATAAGTTAAACTTAGCAAGATTATGATTGAGCAAGTTGGGAAGGAAAAAAGGGTACTTTCTTTTCAAATCTTGGAAGGAAATACTTGAAGACTTAATTAGAGAAAGTATTTTGTTGTGGAGAAGAGTATAATAAACTGGGTTGTGATTATACAACAGGGATTCAAAGAGTTCATGGAAAATTTCCATTATTTTTTAATCCCACTTTTCTATGAACTTTTTGAAGCCCCTCATATGTAGCCAGGGAACTGGCAAACAGACGTAATAACATGGTAGGACTAAGGGGGCATACTACCCTGGGGTTGTTTAACATGATGATTATTTACAGAGGAGTTAGTAGACTTTCAGGAGAGGCAACATTCGGTATTTGAAATAATTTCAAAGCAAAAGAGATGTAATATAATGGTTACCAAATGTACTGAATGAGGATCCACTCAAGAGTGGTTTTGTTTTCTTTTTAACATAAATTTTTTTTAGCCCTACCCCAGAAGCTTTGGGGAAGTCCAGGAACAATTATATTTTTCAGCAAGTTTACTTTTCTGATTTGTTTCCAGAACAGTATTTGAGAAGCTCCGGAATTCAGTAAAATAGTGATTGAATCCTTTGGGACACTCTCAATAGGTACAGATGGAGACTGAGAAGGACTAGCCGGTGAGGTGGGAAGAAAACAGGAGAGTGTGATATACTGGAAGCAAATGGAGACTGTATGACAAGACAAAAGCTCAAACTCAGTCATAGAGTTGATTCCAGTCCATAGCGACCTTACAGGACAGGGTAGAACTGCCCTTGTGGGTTTCCAGCAACAACATTTGACGTTGTTGTTGTTGTCATTGTTGTTGTTAGATGGTTTGCATGCTTGAGTCCCTTATTGCAGCCACTGTGTCAAGCCATCTCCTTGAGGCCCTTGCTCTTTTTTGTTGCCCTCTACCTTGCTAACCATGATGTCCTCCTTCTCCAGAGACTGGTCTCTCTTAGCAATATGTCCAAAGTATGTAAGATGCAGTGAAGTCTCTCCATCCTCGCCGCTAAGGAGCACTCTGGCTGTATTTCTAAGACAGGTCTCTTTGCTCTTTTAGCAGTCCATGGTACTTTCAGTATTCTTCTTCAGCACCACAACTCAAATGCCTCTATTCTTCTATGGTCTTCTTTATTCATTGTCCAACTTTGAAATGCATATAAGGCAATTGAAAATACCATGGCTTGATTCAGGTCCACCTTAGCCCTCAAAGTATTCTCTCTGTTTTTGTTTTTTTTAATCATTTTATTAGGGGCTCATACAACTCCTATCACAATCCACAATCTCTCTGCTTTTCAGTACTCTAAAGAGGTCTTGTGTAGCAGATTTGCCCAATGCAATACATCTGTTGCTTTCTTGACTACTGCTTTCATGAGCACTGGTTGTGAATTCAAGCAAGACAAAATCCTTGACAACGTCAATCTTTTCTCCATTTATCATGATGTTACATATTGACCTAGTTGGAAGATTTTCATCATTAGGAAAGTAGAAAGCTTCATCTTTCCCCTGCAAAGCAGCTCATGATTTTGAACTGATGGCCTTGCAGTTAGTAGCCCAACAGATAACCCACTGTGCTAGAGGGTTTCTGATTGTGAGATAAAAGGAGTGACCCAATGGTAGAATAAGATGAAAACTGGTCATTGACTATAGGATTTAGCAATGAAGAGATTATTACGAACATTACATGTTCAATGTGGTGATTGAGACACAGTTTGATAAGAATAGGTTCAAAAGCAAATGTGAGACAAAGAAGTTTATAGTTGAAAGTTGACTCTCTTTGCAGGGGTTGTCCTGTAAAAAGGAACACAGAAGTAGTATGGTAGCTGGAGGAGGACACAAACTCAAGGTTTTTTGTTTTGTAAGATGAAAATTATCCAGCAGAAAGGAAAATATTATTGATAAAGGGAGAGAAGGAAGAATTGGTGGGGTTGTATCTTTGTCTCAGGAGCATAAACTGTTCATCTACAGTAGCAGGAGGTAAGGCAGATTATATAGGAACAAATACAAAGTGGTGGATAGCCTGCTGGAGAATTCTCTGATTGCTTCTGTCCTAGGAAACAAAGTCATCAGTTGTGACTGAAGATGGAGAAGAGATATTGTAAGTTTGAAAGAAAGAAGTATATGAAAAAATTAGTAGAGAAGAAAAGTAAACGGACTGTGGAACTGATTGCAAGACAACTCTAAAGGCCCACTTGAACTTATTGTGAATTCAGTCATCTTGTTTCTGGTTTTTGTTTTTTATCTGAGCCCTGTAGTTAGCTGGATTGCATGCATGGAATAGAAGCAGAGGTGAATTTAACAGGGATTGGAATATAAAAAACTGTAAGGGACAACAGTGAATATAGGATCATGGAATTTATGCTCAGTTCAAAAGGACCTGAGGACTTGGAAGTGGGTGGTATTATGATTAATTAATTGTAGGCCTGTGGGATCAAAGATTAGATTTGGCGGTGATCAGTGAGATGCTCAAATTTGAGATTACGGAGTGGTTACAATCATTGGTGCTTACAAGCACTCATGTATGACCATGGGAATGAGATACTCATATAAAGCAGAGAACCACATCCTTGGAAGAGAGAAGGTTAAGAACTGGGAGGCCAGCATATTGAAAAGAGCATCTTTGTTAATGTGGAAATCATTAAGAATTATGACAGGACAGAAAAAGGAATCCGAGTAGGAGGATATAAATGTTTGGCTAATTTGTCGCCATAAACAACTGAAGCCATTGCTATGCAACCAGAAGTACTGGATGATCCCCAGCTCGATTTCTGAACATTTTCATCAAAGATTCTATAAAAGTGGAGAAATAAAGAACAGAGGTTTCCACGATCTCTTGGACTCTTGGAGCCATGAAAGTTGCTGAACCTTTGAAACTCTTACCTTGAGATAATCTTTAAACTGTAAACCAAAAATACCCCCTAAACTCTTCTTCAAACCAAACAGTAATTTAGCTTAACTACTGACTGTCTGCCTGGAGCATTATGCTTCCTTGAGAACTATGTATATGGGGTCAAATTGGCAACAGCATCTTGAAAGATTAGATCGGAGCTTTGTACAACTCGAATTTAATCAGTGTCACTAAATGGTACATGTAAAACTGTAGAATTGGCACGTTTTGTTATATAGTCTTAACAACAAATGTTTATCTATTGCTTTATTTTCAACTACTACCTGCCTACTTTTATGAACAGGATATGTACAAGCATGTCTGTTTGGAAACCGCCCCCCACCCCCAATAGAAAATCAGAGTTGGGACAGGTCATAGATATCACCTATTGGCAAAATAGGTGATATCAAAATGGAAAAATCTTCCATTATGGTATGTATTAAGCAGCTAGAGGCTGATATGGAATGTCCAGTGCTTTCAACTAGAAAGACACTTATTAGTGTTTACAGTAGCTATGGTAATTTTAATCTGTTGATTTCTTAGGTTCATGACTACAAAGAAGGAACCCCAGAAGAGAAGGCTTACTACATAGAATTATGGGATGTTGGAGGCTCTGTGGGCAGTGCTAGCAGTGTGAAGAGCACACGGGCTGTATTCTACAATTCGGTGAATGGTAAAGCACTTTGTATTTTTACTGTACATTAGTGGTCTTAGAAGAGAGAGCACCTGACAGAGTGCCTTGGGATGTGGTACTCATATTAAATCAAGACAAATGTAATATATTCACCATTCTTCATTTAGATTTTTATATCACATTTTAACCAGGTAATTCAGAAGGTTAAATATCAAGGTTGTCTCTCTGTTTCTAGTTAGATTTTTGTCATATACTAAACATTGCGAAATAAAATTACGTTAAGAATAAGAGGTAAAGCATAGAATTTTGAAACCACCATCCCCTGAGAGTGCTGTTCCCCATTCAGTTTAGTAAATGTGAGCAGTAGTACTATTAGCATTTCTTTTTTTTTTCTTTTTAAAATCATTGTATTGGGTGCTCATACAACTCCTGTCACAATCCATCTATCAATCTATTGTGTCAAGCACATTTGTCCATTTGTTGTCATCATCATTTTCAAAACATTTTCTTTGTACTTGAGCCCTTGGTATCAGCTCCTCATTTTCCCTTCCCTTCCCGTCCCCCGTCCCCCACGAACCCTTGATAATGTATAGATTATTATTATTTTCTCATATCTTACACTGTCAGATATCTCCCCTCACCCACTTTTCTGTTGTCCATCCCCCAGGGAAGGGATTATATGTAGATCCTTGTGATCTGTTTCCCCTTTCTCCACCACCTTCCCTTTATCCTCCTGGTATCACCACGCTCATTATTGTTCCTGAAGGGTTTATCTGTCCTGGATTCCCTGTGTTTCCAGTTCCTATCTGTACCAGTGTACATCCTCTGGTCTAGCCGGATTTGTAAAGTAGAATTAGGGTCATGATAGTCAGGGGGAGGAAACATTAAAGAACTAGAGGAAAGGTGTGTGTTTCATCATTGCAATACAGCACCCTGACTGCCTCGTCTCCTCTCCGTTACCCTTCTGTAAGGGGGTGTCCAGTTGCCTCGAAATGGGCTTTTGGTCCCCAATCTGCACTCCCCCTCATTCACAATAATATGATTTTTTTGTTCTTTGATGCCTGATACCTGTTTGTTTTTTAAACTGCAATAGCAAAAGATTTAGCACTTTGCCCTCCACTCCTGGTAAATGTGTAGCTGTTTGTGTTCTGTCTCCTACTCACTCTCTACTTTCCCTGTGCTCTGCTTTTCCTCTGGATTCTATAATTCTATGGTTCATTGCAATGGCCACACAGTACTCACAGGCAATATTCATGGTCAAAGAGTTTATTAAGGAAGTTGACAGGTTACAATGCATGTTTTGCTCGGGACGTGTTACAAAGATCTTTCGGGGCTGTTCACAGATACCCACAGAGCATACCACTCTGCTACAAGCCTCCACGGAAGACACTCAGCCTCAGCTCTTCAACCCTGCTCCTCCAATTAAGTGCCCAGAGGCACCCCACTCCACAAGCCTGCCACAAAGCACTCACCTTTACTGGCTCTGTGGGCTGGACAGTAACCAAAATGAGAAAAATTACAGATCGACACCCTGCTTGAAATGTAATGGCCCTCTTAGAAAACAAGGTGTGTGTGTGTGTGTGTGTGTGTGTGTGTGTGTGTGTGTGTGTGGTGGTGACTGCACCACTTTAAATGTGTGTTACTCTCCACCGTTCAGGCATTAATCCAGTCTCCTGCATCAGCCTCCTGAAACGGCTCACTCTGCCTCTTCTGAGTCTCTCATTCCAGTGCTTAGACCATAAATTTTCTTATTCTAGTTATCATTTTGCTTCACCCAAATTATTAAAAGTCTGATCTATTCCAGTTTCACTTTGGCAGGCATAACTGAACCATTCAAACCGGTCCAAAGCCCTGGTTTATATGCCCCTACAGTTACATAGGCTGACCATGAGTAGGAATTGACTGTTGACTCAACAGCACCTAAAAACAACAAAGACTCAGCACATACAGAGACTCTCAAGCAAAACAAACAAAAAACTCCGCCTCATGCACCCAATAGGTTGCTCTGACAAGCAAGTCTTCCCCATAACCAAAACTCAAACTTAACTGCCATCAACTCAATGCCAACACAGAGCAACCCTACAGGACAGGGTAAAACGGCCGGTGTGAAGTTCGGAGACTGTAACTCTATGGGAGTAGAAAGCCCATCTTTCGGCCATGGAGTATCTGGCAGGTTTGAACCGCTGACCTTGTGGTTAACAGCCCAGTTCGTAACCACCACACCACCAGGGCTCCTGTCTTATGATCTTCCAACCTAGGAAATAAGGAAGGGAGACTATATCTGGTGCTCTTTTGCTCTAAGATAAGATATTTACTAATCCCAGTCCTGTGGTATTAGAACTGCATTCAAATTCTGGGACTTCACTTAACATATGAACTAGGACAAATAACTCAACCTCTCTGAACCTGTTTCTTTGGGTGTGAAATGAAGGTTATAATTCTTACCTCACAAGACTATTGTGAGAATTATATTAGATAACACTTGTAAAGCATAATAACTGGCCATTAAATGCTGAATTATATTAACTATATTCTTTAATGGTAGATAGTTGTTTCCTTTTTTTAATGGTCTCTCTATTGTGTGTCCTTGGTGCCTACTAAAACATCTAACTAAGGAAGGTAAATGATTGCAATTGAATATGGGGCAAGAGGCAGCTCTGTTTCTTCCAGATACAGGAGAGATACAGGTTCATCTTGAGCTAGTTGGAACAAGCCGACTACAGCTTACCCCAGCACCTTAGTTGCACAGATGGCTGTGAAACGAGAGGGGCCAATTTTTTCTGTTTCTCTGTTGTTTTCTAAATTGGTGAATCTCACATCCTGAAGATGGAGGAATCACCAGTTTCACATCCTCTTTTCAGAATGAACTGTGGGTGATATAGTAAAGTGTGAGGTAGAGGTTTGAAAACCGCCAGTCTGTGTCCACAAGATGATATCCCAAATTCTAGCCTCATGTAACATATAGTAATAATTATTATCTTACTATATAATTACATGCTGACTATAATAAGCAGGCTACCTTGATTCTGAGCTAATTCCGTTTTATTATATTTGTGTTTTGGTTTTTCTCAATCTCTCCACTGTCCAGCTTTTTTCTACTATTCATATTTTTTGGTTATCTCTCTTACCGCCTTCCAGTGGCATATTTCTTCTGTTCTAGTAACTAAATCTTTCATGGATGGCAAATTTGCATAGCTAAACATTAGTTCAAAGACTTGAAAATTAGATTTTGAAGTTATTAGACCCAAGAGATCTGCAAGACATTTTGTCAGCTAAAGAATAGCAATTTGTAGAAAATTAAATCAATACCATTTTAATAAGATTTATTATCTAATACTTCAAATGCAACATGGAAGCACTCACTTGTCTATGCCAAGAACTTGGAAGGCAGCTACCTGGCCAACCAACTGAAAGAGATCCATATCTGTGCCTGTTCCAAAGGCAAGCCAACAATATATGGAAGTTATTGAACAGTAGTATTAACGTCACACACGTAAAGTTTTTCGGAAGACAATTCAGTAACAATTGCAGCCGTACATTTACTGTGAACTATCAAAGTCCAAGCCAGATTCGGGGGAGGATGTGGAACAAGGAATATCATTGCTGATGTCAGATGGATATTGAAAATACCACAAAGAGGTTTACCTGTGTATTTACTGACTGCAGTGCCATTTGACTATGTGAATTATAAGAAATCAATGTAGCATTGCAAAGAATGGGAATGCCAGAGCATTTATTGTGCTCATGCAGAACCTATACATAAACCAAGAAGCAGTTGTTCAGACAGAACAAGGAAATATACTGCATGGTTGAAAATCAGGAAAGGTATGTGTTGAGTTGAATCCTCTCATCATTCTTATTGAGTCTGTAGACTGAGCAAGTAATACCAGACGTCCTATATGAGAGAAAACTCAGCACCAAGATTAGAGGCAGACTCACTAACAACCTTCAATATACAGAGACCACATGTTATTTGCTGAAAGTGAAGAGGACTGTGTGCTAAGTGGAGAGTGAATAAAAAAGACCTAGGGGAAAAATGATGCATTTGAATGATAATATTAGTGAAGAATGTTGACTACACCATGAACTACCAGAAGAACAAACACATCTATCGTGGAAGAGGTACGGACAGAGTGCTCCTTAGAAATGAGGATGGCACAAACAGACCTTGAACTATGAATAGACTTTTCTTTTTTTGTCATTGTTTTTGTTGTTGTTTTGTTTTATTTTCTTTTGTTGCTTTGTTTTGCTCTGTCTTGTTTTTGTGCAGTATTCTTTTTAGTGAATGTGAGTACTATATGTATATGCTGATATGTGTGATAACCCATTTTAAAGTTGTTGTTGTTTTTTAATGTAGAGAAAATACATGTGGATTAAGCCTCTAGTGAATCCCCTCTGACCATAGACCAGAGAAGGAAATATCTTGCTGTCATGCCCAGGGCATTAGAAAGTGGATTATTGCAGATGCAGGCAGAGTAAAACTTAACGCCTTATCACGTGAGCTCCCTTTTGACCCATTTTAAATTTGTTACAGTTTTTGATATTTTTTTTTCAATTAAAGATTTTCTCTGTTTTACTTTGTAATTGTTCTTAGTGTGTTGTTGTTTTGTGAGGGTTATGTTTTTTGGTATATAAAATCCAAAATAGGTAAATCTATAGAGAAAGTAACAAGATTAAAGGTTTGTTGGGAGTAAGGCACAGCAGGTTGGCGGGAAATGGGGAGATAATCACAATGAGTACAAGAAGGAAGAAAATGTTCTAAAATTGATTGTGGTGACTGTCAACTTTTCTTAATATGAGTGAACTGTTAAATTGTATGATATGTGACTTATATGCCAATAAAACCGTTTGAAAAGACATATAACTTTTGAAATCTGCTTTATACACTTGAAGTGAGTTTGATTTTCTTTCTTTAATGAAGTGGGTCTACGACTAGGACCAGAGACAGCATAGGCTTTCCGAGTCTGTGGAATGAAGAGAAGAAAGATAGCCTGAAAGATGTAAAGTGGTTTTGTTAGCCTTTACAGAATAGTGATAATATTAATAAAAAGTTATATAACTGACAAAGTTTTGTAGTTAATGATTTGTAAGAGTATATAGAGTATATAGAGGAATGTTGTAATGTGTTTAGTTTGTTAGTCACACAAGATAGAACTCTAGATTCATTAAGCAACATGGTGTTTATATACCCAAGCTCTACTTTATCAGTTGTGAAATAAAGAAGAGCTATTGTAGTATTTACAGTATTTTCTTTGATTTTTTTTAGGTATTATATTAGTGCATGACTTAACAAATAAGAAATCATCCCAAAACTTGTATCGTTGGTCATTGGAAGCTCTCAACAAGGACTTGGTACCCACCGGAGTCTTGGTAACAAATGGGTAAGCCCAAATTACTTCACACTTGCCTTGAAACAGTCTAGCATTTATAGGGAAACCAAACTCACTGCCTTGTGGTCAATGCTGACTCACAACTACGGTTGCCGGGACTTAACTGTTTGTGGGAGTAGAAAGCCCAGTCTTTCTCCCTCGGAGCTGCTGGTGGTTTCAAATTACCAACCATAGGGGTCTCAGCCCAAACATGTAACTACTACACCACCAGGGGTCCTGTTCCACAAAGGAACCCTGGTAGGACTGTGTTTAAAGCTCTCTGTTGCTAACATTGAGTCTGTGGTCCATGCTCCTGAGCAGTTCTGCTAGAGAAAGATGTAGCGCTTGGCTTCGGTAAAGACGGATGGCCTTGGCAGTCCTATGGGCCAGTTCTACTCTGGCCTCTAGGGTTGCTTTGAGTTGGACTTGCTTGGATTTGTTTGGGGTTTGGGGTTTCCCTCCAAAATAGCACTCTGTAAGATGGTGATATCTAATTATTTTTTCCCAGTCTATAGGTTTTTTTCTTTAAACAAATTTTTCTCTCTTTTGACAGTAATCAATACATGAGGAAATTACAGAATAATTTGTGTGTTTATGCATTGTCAATTTTTATTACTGTGAATTGGTGCATTTTCTTAAATGGTTCAAAGGCCATTAAAATGTGTATTATTCATAGACTTTTATTATTTTTAGAGCCATGTTAGGGTTACAGAAAAACAGTACAAAAAGAATAATAGTGTTTCCATATACTCCTCCCCTCTGCCCTTTGTTCCTCTTCTTAGTAATACCTTCTAGTGTGGTATACATTGTCTTTTTCCCCTCCCTCTTATGATGTCCTTCACAAGGTTTTTCATTTTGATAGAGTCTAATTTCTCTATTATTTTCCTTTATGAATAGTGCTGTTTGATGTCAGATCTTAGGACTCTTTGTCTTACCCCAAATCATGAAGGTTTTTTCCTATGTATCTTCTAGAAGCTTTAGGGCCTATAGAATGTTTTGAGTTTGCTTTGTATAAGGTATGAAATTTAGGTTGAAGCTGGTTTTTGCATGTGGATATGTAATTGCTAACACCATTTGTTGAAAAGACTATCTTGTCTTCATTTGAATTGCTTTTGCTTCTTGGCCAAAAAAGTAATTGCCCACATTTATGGCCAATAGCCCAGAAATGACCTCTCTCCCGTCCCATTGATTTGGTGACCATCCCTTCACTAATACTACACTGTCTTGATGGCTGTGGTATTACAGTAAATGTTAAATCAGACAGTGGTGTTCATCTAAGTTATTGTTTTCTAAGTTGTGTAGTTATTCTGTTTTAGTATGTTTTAATAAAGTTCTGTTTGATGTTTGACTGGAATTGTGTTAACTTAATAGATCAAATTGGAGCAAATTGACAGCGATACGTTGTTGAGTCATCCAATCTCTGAACACAGTCCACCTATTTAGGTTTCCTATGTTTGGTCTTTCTAACAGCATCTTTCAGCTTTCAGTATTCAGATTCTGTACATATTTTATTAGACTTTTCCTTCGGTTTTTAGTTTTATAGTATTCTGTAAGTTTCCATTTCAGATTTTTCATTGCTAGTGTAAAGAAATATAATTGATTTGCTAATTTCATTTACTAGTGACCTTGCTAACTTATTAGTGCTAGGAGTTTTTAAATTATAATATATATATGTACAGGTTTATTTCCTCCATTGTAGTCTACATTCTTTTTATTTCTTTTATCTGACCTTATTGCACTATGACTTCCAGTCTAATGTTAAACAGGAGTGGTCTTGATCTTAGTAAAGCATTCAACCTTTTCCTTAATGGTATAGCTGGTTTTTGTAGATGCCTTTTATCTAATTGAGAATGTTTTCTTGTATTCCTTATTTGCTGCGGTTTATCATGAACAGATACTGAATTTTGTCAGAAGCTTTTGCTGCATCAAATGAAATGGTCATGTGGATATTTTTCACCAGATTTTTAATATGGTGGATTACATTGATTGTTTTTGAAATAATGAACTAATCTTACATTCTTTGGTCATGGTGTACTCAGTTCATCTGTTGTAGGATTTGATTTGTTCCTTTTTAATGGTTTTTGTCCAGGTTCATGAGGGATATTGGTTTTCTATTCTTATGGGAGTTGGGTATTTTGTTTTGCTTTTTGCTGGTTTAAGAATAAGGATAATGCTGGTCTCATAGAATGTGGTGGAAATGTGTTTGTTTTCTTTTCTGGAAGAGATTGTATATTAAAAATCCAGACTGAGAAGAATTACTGAAACCAGAATGAAGGCTGAACATGGTAGTGGGACAGGAGGAAAGCATAAGGAAATAGAGGAAAGGAGTAGGAGGCAAAGG